AGGTCATCCTTATGCACGTAACAAACCGAGCAGGGACGGTTCGAGGCGTGTTGCATCGTGCTGGTCACACGACTCCCTTCAGGGTAATCGGCAACATACGAGTATAGCTTCGGCCAGACGGTGTAGACATTCCCAAACGGATCTGTTAATGGTAAGGAGCTGGGGAAGCATTACAACCATGGAGATTGGGGGGTATAAGAAGATTTATGAGAAATGCACTCATGCATGGCAACCTCACTCACTGCCATGCATGGCATCATGGCAGCCCTACTCACTGCCATGCATGGCATCATGCGTCAAATGGTGATGAGCAGTCCACCCATACATGGCAGCCCTACTCACTGCCATGCATGGCATCATGCGTCAAATGGTGATGAGCAGTCCACCCATACATGGCAGCCCTACTCACTGCCATGCATGGCATCATGCGTCAAATGGTGATGAGCAATCCACCCATACATGGCAGTGCATGGCATCATGAGTCAAATGGAGATGAGCAATCCACCCATACATGGCAGCCTTACTCACTGCCATGCATGGCATGATAAGTCAAATGGTGATGAGCAATGCACCCATACATGGTAGCCAAAATCACTGCCATGCATGGCAAAATGCGTCAAATGGTGAGCCTTACCTTCGCATGACTTCAAACAGGCTTTTGAAAACGATGTCACAAGATCGCTGGAATAGTTCCACACGTTGCCATGGTTCCATTTCAGGGTCGGCGACAGGGAGTAGTGCGACCAATATCCTCCCATGATCCAGCCGGCGCCGTGCTAGTGGGATGTTGGTGAAGGTGAGGTACACCGGCCATGCTTTCAGCCGTTCATTACCGGAGAGTAGCGTCTCATCACTTGAGATTATGATGGGGCAGACCAGCTCCTCGTCTGACAGATTTTTCTGCAATACAAAGCATGTGAATCGCTAAGTTTTGGACATCCGAAATCTGGTGACAGCTGAGGAATAAAAGCACTTCATGGCGAACCTGTGCTTCGAGCCAAAAATCAGCCGAGTGTGCTGGCCCGTACACTCTCTCCTCGCCTTTCTTCACTTCCGCTGCCCGATGAATGAACCCCTCACGGTTCTTTGGATCCGACCACAACCGACGCAACGCCTGCAGTACGTAGAAGGTTTGGAAGTGGGATCCATGTGTACAACAACCAAAAACAGTTTAGGGACGTGCCTATGCATGTCATGATGAGACAAATAGTGATGAGCAATGCACCCATGCATGGCAGCCATACCCATTGCCATGCATGACATGATGAGTACAAGCGTGATGAGCAGTGGACCTATGCATGGCAGCCTTACTCACTGCCATGCATTGGCATGATGAGTAAAAGCGTGATGAGCAATGCACCCATGCATGGTAGCCTTACTCACTGCCATGCATGGGTGATTGGCAAAAAGCGTGATGAGCAGTGGACCCATGCATGGCAGCCTTACTCACTGCCATGCATTGGCATGATGAGTAAAAGCGTGATGATCTGGCGAGTACAAGGCTTGGATTTGTGGGATGCATGTGTACAACAACCAAAAACGGTGTGAGGACGTACCTCTACAGGGTCAATAAATTTGACCTTGAACATCCTGTGCCACCCCGAAACGCTAACATTTTCAGTTTTGTAGCGCCTTTTCTCAATGCCCAGCTTCTCCAGAGTGTATTTATCGACCGCATGCTTCGTGTTCCAATTCTTCAATGCTTTTATGTCAAATCCGGCGTGCTTGATGAGCTTGAAAAACCACCACACGTCATGCGCGCTGAGACCGACTCCCTTGTTGCATGAAGCTAAGAACTTGAAAGTTTCCAACAGCGTGTCGAACTCCGGTGTCTCTTCGGGTTCGTCAACGTCGGCAAAGGAGGAGTTGGCGTCGTGGAAAACCTCCTCACGGTCACATTCCATCGCTGCCGCTGAGAATGGCGTTTCCACATGGTGCGTGTCTTCTGTCATCGCCACTCCGACGTCGGGAATGACAGTGGAGGTGTATGGGATTCCCGGAAGCACGTCATTCTCAGTGTTACGAGATTTATTTGCTCTTGCACGCGCATGTGCAAGCAAGCATTTGTCGCTGCGCTCGTGGTTTGAGAGTGCAACCTCGTTGTCGAATGAAACCTCACAAGTCTCGCAGCTGAAACCATCTGTTGGCAAAAATAACCTTTCCATCTCGCAGCATCCGTGAGGCATTGGTGATTCAAAGTTAGATGTCATGTCAAGGCTTTCGGCGAGAAGCACCAATAGAAGTAGTGCTATAACGCACCGTAGCCGTATGGCTTGAAGATTAGGGCCCATTGAGAAGAGACCACATTACAGAGGGTTCTGAAAAGAATGGTGAATCAGCCAGGCTTGCTCCGATTATGAATGGGCTGCTAGACTGTTGTGAGTACTAAATGTGAGAAATTTGGCTGGGTAGGGAAGGGGGGAAGGGTGACGGGTTTCTTGCTGGAGTCGCGAGGCTTCTGGTTACTTGGTGGGCTGGCAAGGGCTGGGATTAGCAATGTACTAGAGTCTAGCTGCATCTGATTGGTTGGAGTAAAGGGAGTGGCTGAGATTTGTCGCCAGAGCGAGTCGCATTTCCAAATTGGAGATTTGAACAAGGCGAAAGATCGACTGGATCCGGAGGAGTTCTTTCGCGGTCTGGCGAACACACTGTTGGGGGAAGCGGAGACGTATTATCGAATCTCCCGGAAGGAGCTGCTGGAGTGGTCCTCGGGAAGGGCACCGGGCGAGCGGGATCCAACCTCGCGGTTCCCTTGCAAACGGCGGAACGGGTGGTGGAGTTCCGAGGCTTCCGGCGAAGAGAGGGAGAGTCTCTCTTGGCGTATTACGGGAGGCTCGTGGAGCTGGGGGAGGACATGAATTGTACGGATCAGGGAAGACTGATCGGGAAGTTTGTATACGGACTAAGTCAGCCCCTGCAGCAAGATGTACAGGTGCGCGTGTTCGAGATGGGGCCGGAAGCGACGCTGAGGGAGGCTTATGAGATCGTGAAGCGCGTGGAGATGGGGCAGCGGCTGTATGAGGTGGAGCGCACGACAAAAAGGGGCCCGGAAAGGAGGCGACCGGCATGGGCAGCGACATCGGCGTACCCGGAGCCAGAAGAACGAGGCAGAGAGGAGCTGCGGCGCTGTCACAACTGTGGGTTACCAGGGCATCTGCGACGGGACTGTCGGAATCCGGCAGCGTGTTCGCTGTGCGGGAGTCGCGATCACATGCGGAGGGACTGCCCTGGGGCGCCAGTCTGCGCTCGCTGCGGAAGAAAAGGACACCGTGAGGCGGACTGCTACGCAGGACGAAGGGAACGACGGGGGGTGGACAGCGGAGAGGATAGGCAAGCCACTATGGCACACTTGCGGGCCCAGCTGGCGGAATTGGAGGCGACCGAGCAGAAGCAGCCAGCCATGGTGGCACAGGAAGAGGAGGAGGCGGATGAGCCGGAATTCATGCTCATGGCGCAGCCAGCTCGCGATCGAGAGGAGCTGGGCTTGCGGAGGGCTTCACGACGGCTAGTGTTTCCAGAGGATGCGCGGCGGGAAGACGGGCCGAGAAGGCGGGCGAGCGAGAGCGCGGAAGTACAAGGGGCAGCACATCGGCATCCGCGGGAGCGAATGACCTGCCAAGCTACAGTCTTAACGATAGCAGCAGGCGCGATAACAATCGGAGGCTTTACAGCGCAGCGGGCAATAGTGGACACGGGGGCCGCGCACGTGCTCATCGGCAAGCGCCTGGCGGAACAGCTGCAGTTGTACAAGCCGGGCCGCCTGATTGCGGAAGGCTATCTGCTGATGACCGCGGACGGAGGGGAGGTGAAGTGGATGCCTAAGACCAGGCAGGCAATGGCGTTGATGCTGAACCCTGGGACCAAGGAGGAGTGCGCGCTGCGAGTGTACTGCGGAGTGTCTGAATCAGAATATTTCGACCTGCTCATAAGGGTGGAATACCTGTTTGGGATAGGGGCCACTATCTGCATGTGGGAAGAAAAGGTGCAGTATCGGGTCTGCTACTGGGAAGATGATGGACCCATCGGCACGCTGCCGGTACGCTTTGTGCGAAGGGAACCGAGAGAGGCATACCAATGCTCCGAGGCGGAAAAGCGAGAGGAGCTGGGCATCCCCACCTGGCAACAGATTGCGCGAAGGCCGTCAGCGCCGCTGGGGCATATCGAGGGGGACCCTGACCTGAAGGCGCTGTGCACCGATACGAAGAGGCTCCTGGGGCCCACCGTCGTGCTGGACCTCTTCGGGGGCATAGGAACCGGGCTGGCAGCAGTGCTGAGATCAGGGATAAGCGTGCAGAAGTGGATCTTGGTGGAAAATGACATGCAGGCTGCGAAGATGGCGGTGGCTCACGCAGAGAAGCTGCACAAGCGGTATCCACATCAGTTTTGCTCAGTGACATTAATGCAGCCTGCAATGTGGGGCATCTGACATACGCGGGATAGATGAGCACCAGCTCCGGCAGTGGGGGAAGATAGATGTGGTAATCGCGGGATGGGAGTGCCAGGGTTACTCACGAGCAGGAGCCGGCAGAGGCATGAGGGACGAGCGGAGCGGGTTGTTTCGGGAGCTCAAGCGGGTGCTGATGTTGATAAAGCGTCTCCAAGGGGACGTGCTCTACATCGTCGAGAACGTGGATATGGAAGGGGACATCAGGGAGCAGGTACAGGTGGCGCACGAAGAAGTGACAGCCACCTTGGGACCTGGAGTAGTGGCAGACGGAGCGCAAACAGGGAGCAGGACCCACAGGGTCCGCCGGTACTGGACAAACCGGGTAAGTGAAGCGGCATTGCAGTACCGCCTCTCACTGATGGAACGACCGGTGCCCTTGTTGGTGGAGGACATACTGGAACCTGGGAGGATGCCAGCGCCTGTGGAGCGGCCGGATCATCCGACGCAATTCCCCTGCAATGAGGTGGGAAAGGCGAGGCAGGCGTGGCCGACGCTCGTGGCGCACGGAGACGCGGCGGCCTTCAGGATGCACGACGGATTGCCAGGGCCGGGCATGGTCTACGATTGCACGGCGCGGGAGTGGCAGGAGCCGACGGCGCTGGAAAGGGAACTTGCCATGGGGTTCATGGAAGACGCGACAGCACATCCGGAAGTGACGGAGGAGGAAAGGAGGAAGGCGCTGGGAAGAGCTATGGATCTCAATGTGATGCACTGGTTGGTGGCGACCATCCGGATGTACCACTCGCAGCTGCGCTGGGAGCGGAAACGGGATAAGGCAGCGGCGGTGCAACCACCGACAGAGAGATCAGCAGCGAAGGAGGCACTGGCGCGGGCCATGCTGGGGGAAATGCAGGAGCACGAGGAGTTGCAGCATGATAGGGGGCATCCGATAGAGAGGAGGTGGGTATACCCCTGGGAAGAGGAGGACGAGAGACCGGCGGTCTATGCAGAACAGACAGACATCTGGCTCCCAGGAGAACGAGAGGAGGAAGCAGTGGACAAGAAGCGTGAGGATTTTAGCTGGCTGGAAGAGGCCATTGAAAGGCAGAGAATCAGGGAAAGCTACGAATGGGAATTTGGGTCTCGAGACTTTGCACTCATGGCGGCAACAAAGGAGGAGGAGCAGGCACGAGGGGAAACGCAGGAAACGGGGGAGGTAAGGGGCATGGAAGGGGCGCCGCGGGACGCAACGAGGACGGAGGAATCGGAGCAGCCGGGGCCGAGGCAGGCAGAGCCACGACGGGAGGAAGAAGTGAAGGAATGGGAGATCGGGGAAGGCATGACGGAAGCGGACGCCGGGGAATTGAAGAAGTTGTTGGCCAAGCACCGGGCAGCCTTTGCCTACTCACTGAAGGAAGTAGGAAGGTGCAACATGGCACAAGTCACCCTGGAGCTGACCACAGACATCCCGGTGTACCAGCGGCGCCGGCGCATGACAGCGGACGAGACGCAGATTTGTAAAGAGAAGTGTCAGGAGCTGCTAGAGGCTGGCTTCATCAAAAAATCCAGCTCCGAATATGCCGCGGCGACGGTGGTGGCGGCACGGACAGATCTCACAGGGAAGGTGCTTTCCAAGCGGATGTGCGGGGATTACAGGGGGCTGAACAAGGTCATAGTCATGAAAAGGTATCAGACACCGATGTCGGACGAGATCTTTGATCTATTGGCGGAAGCGCTCGTGTTCTCCACACTGGACCTGCGGCAGGGGTTTAATCAAATCCCCATAGCAGAAGCTGACAAGAAGAAGACGGCCTTTCACGGGCCGGACGGGCAATACGAATGGAATTTCCTCCCATTCGGCTTGAAGTCCGCGTCACCCGAGTTCCAATGGGTCATGGATCAGGTGTTGCGGGAGGTGCAGAACGCGGCTTGTTACATCGATGACGTTATAGTGTTCAGCACGGACAGCCGCTCGCACGTGAAGGATGTGGAAGCAGCTCTGAGTACCATAGAGGGAGCAGGGCTCACCTGCCATCCGGGGAAGTGCAGATTTGGGCAGACAACGGTGGAGTACCTGGCTTCGAGGTGGAGGGTGGAAAAATTGGAATACAGAAGGCAAAGGTCGAAGTACTGGACCGCGTAGCCACGCCGAAGGATAGAACCACCTTGCGGGCGCTGCTGGGGTTCTTAAACTACTACCGCAAGTTTGTGCCGAACTTCAGCAGCCGAGCCACAGCCCTGAACCAGCTTCTCAGAGAGGACAGCCAGTGGGAATGGGGGCCGGACCAGGAGAGGGCGGTGCAGGACTTGATGGGAGCAGTGAAGAACGGAGCGGTACTGGAGCTGCCCAGAGCGGACCTGCCATTCACACTGTACACCGACTGGAGCAGCGCGGGCATGGGAGCGGTGCTGGCACAGATGAAAGGGGAGGTGGAGAAAGTGGTGGCCTTTGCGAGTCGCAGCTGTAATGCGGTGGAAGCCAACTACTCGTCGTATGAGGGTGAGGGCTTGGCAGTGGTATGGGCGGTGAAGCATTTCCGAGTCTACTTGCAGGGAAGGAAGTTCACGCTGGTGACAGACCACCAGCCGCTGCTCTGGCTGATGCAAACACCGGATCTCACCGGGCGGAATGCGTGCTGGGCAATGAAACTCCAGGAATACGATTTTGAGATCAAGCACCGCCCAGGCAAGACGATGCAGCACGTGGACGGCCTGTCCAGGAACCCTCCGTCCGTGCAGCCGTCGGCCTGCCTCATGGCGATGGCGAAGGAAGCAGATAAGGGGCAAGCGTGGGGGGAGAAGAAGGGGGGTCCGGCGGACATATGGGCAGACCAGGAAGCCCTGGCATGGATTCAGGGGGCAACCACAGAGGAAGGGGCAGTGCCGGCAAGAGTGCGGGCAAGGGGGGAGCACAACCGCTGGTTCAAAGGACAGGTGCAGCTGAGGACAGGGGAAGGTTGGAAGCACGTCCCGCCCCCGGGCGAGCGGGAAGGTGTCATCAGCGAGGTGCACACGAAGCTAGGGCACTATGGGCCCCTGCGCACGCAGCAGCTGGTTCAGACAGGGTGGTGGTGGGCGGGGATGCGGCAGCAGATCAAGGACTGGGTCTGGAAGTGTGATGCCTGCTGCAGGAACAGAGCCGTGCTGGAAAGAGAGAAGGCGGAGCTGCAGCCCTTACCCATAGTGAGCCTGGGCTATCGGTGGTCCTTGGACATAGCGGGGGAGCTGCCGGTCACTACGAAGGGACGGAGATATATACTCCTGATGGTGGAACACGTCAGCAAATGGGCGGAAGCCAAGCCGCTCGTGCACAAGACGGCTGAGGCCGTGGTAGAGGCCTTTGAGGAAATGGTAGTCACGAGGCTGGGGGCATGTGGAGAAGTGCTGACAGACCAGGGCACCGAGTTCGAAGGGGCATTCGACCAGCTGCTGAAAGCCAGCGGCATCAGGCACAGGACCACCTCACGCTACCATCCACAGAGCGACGGGTTGACAGAGAGACTGGTGCAGACCGTGAAGCGAGGACTGAGGGCCTACGGGGAAGAGCATAAGAGGGACTGGGATAGAAAGCTGTGTTGGGTGATGGCAGGATACCGCTTCAGCAAGCAGGCGGCGCAGAGGGACGTCTCACCCTATTACCTCCTGTTCGGCAAAGAGCCAGTGATGCCAGTGGGGGCACCAAAGCTGCTGCAGGATGTGGTGACCACGGGCTCAGCAGAAAAGTGGGTGGCGGTGGCAGAGGCGCGGGCAGCATACTTAAGGCACTTGCTACCAGCAGCGCTAGAGAACTTGCACGTCGCGCAGCTGCGGGACATAGAGAGGTACAAGCAGAGGCAGGAGAACAACGGGAAAGGGGCAGTAGCGGGAGTGAAAGAGGAGGAAGAAGTATACCTCAGGAGGCAGCGTAAGCACGCCTTGGACGTGGGGCTCTCACAGCAGCAGTGGACGGTGAAGGAGGTGCGACCCTCGGGGGTGATAGTGCTAGAGGACGGGAAGGGAAAATGGGTGGCGGACCACGTTACCAACGTGGCCAGGATTCGGACGGAGAAGGGCAAGGGCGGACCACAGGGTCCCATGACGCGCGCGAGGACGGTAGCAATGCGCCATGAGAGGGGGCAGGAAGGGTCCGAGAAGGGAGACAACAAAGGCAAGGGCAAGGAGAAGGTGGGGTAGAGGCAAGAAAGGGAAAGGCATGGAGCGGCAGAGAGGAAGTGGCACACAGGGGAGGATGGGTCAGGGAGAACCAGGGAAGGGTGAGACGAGATACACTATGGAGGAAGATGAAGGAGAGGAGTATGGTTGAGACACAAGGGACAGGGAGGGCTGGGCAGGAGAGAGGAGGAAACAGAGGGGCATGGGGTGGCAGTGAGAGAGGCACAAAGGGGAAAGGGGGAAGTTTTTGACAGCTGTCAGAACTCTAAGGCTGACACCTAAGAAGTGCTGACAGAGGGTGTAGAGCGTAACGAAGGAGGAACACTTGTATATTTGTATATAAGCGAAACACTCAGCAGTGGGGATCGCTAACGGCAGAAGTGAAGCAGGGCGGGAGACTCGGCGAGGGGAGGGTAACTGGCGAGGCAAATGGGATGGCAACTCCACGTAGGGCGGCGGGCTGGACGAGTGGGAGGTGGGCTGGCAGGATTGGCAGCGAGATGACGTGGCATGGTATGCGAATGTATGGTGTATGGTGTGCATGTGTGGTGTGTTTGTTTTCTCTTGCAGACACCGAGTCCAGGAGGGAGCTGGAAGTCAGCAAGGCCAGCTGGAGGCAGGCAATAGTACCGGATGGATGGCTAGCTAGGCAGCCCAGCAGAACCACAATCGTTTGGCTAGGCTAGCTGGGGTTGAGTTGGGAAGGTTAAGGTTGGTTCCTGGGCCATGGGACTGCCACTGCATTTATGTTTTCGTGAATTACTGCAAGTTACTTTCAGACAAGCAGTGAGCTAACGAAGCCATAACACGCAGTCAGGATGAGTTAGGAAGGGTCAGAGCTTGGAAGGGTCCAAGAAGGGAGACAACAAAGGCAAGGGCAAGGAGAAGGTGGGGTAGAGGCAAGAAAGGGAAAGGCATGGAGCGGCAGAGAGGAAGTGGCACACAGGGGAGGATGGGTCAGGGAGAACCAGGGAAGGGTGAGACGAGATACACTATGGAGGAAGATGGAGAGGAGTATGGTTGAGACACAAGGGACAGGGAGGGCTGGGCAGGAGAGAGGAGGAAACAGAGGGGCATGGGGTGGCAGTGAGAGAGGCACAAAGGGGAAAGGGGGAAGTTTCCGACAAAGTGCACCCATCAAATTCAAAGCCGAGGAACTATCAACACGAAGGATGGATGTTGATGTGGTGGTACCCAGATTTGAGGTGAACGGAGAACATCCAGTCCCCAACGCATGCTAAGTCCACCACGCGGCTGAGCTTTACGTACTTGGATTTTGGGACGATAAAGTTTTCATTGACTGTTCTCAGATTAAGACTGAGCCTGCACTTTTCTCTTTGCTCGACCACGTTGAGTGGAATTATACATGTAAGCTCCGTTGCAGCCTCTCAACTGCCGCTCCGGCCTCCGTGAGCTGCGCGTATGCCCCAGTGTTGTTGCACTCACGGAAGGGCTGTGGTGGGCCGTGGCTTCATGGAAGGCAGTAACCCTTGCCGATTATGGAGAGGACGAGGCTACAAGGGCACCATGAGCTCCACCATGCAAAGGTCAAGCAAAGCCGACCACACATCTCCAGCACCGCAAAACAGTCCCTGAGGTAAAACTTCGTGTGTGTTCCTCCCACTAGAGGGTTTTCTGCCGTCGCTGCTAGACTAGACTTCATGAGGTAGCCCACTGACTCGGCTCTCTGTAGGGCTACCGGCCACCTCTGCCTGAACTGGTGGAGGAACTTTGCGGCCTGGAATGAGTTGGGGCCGGCGTTAAAATACCGTCGAGCTGCAGTATCGGCCAGCAGCTTCAGAAACACCGGCACTTCCGCACTACCGCCAAGGGGAAGAAACCCACCGAATCGAGCCGGGCAGCATAATGCTTGATTTTTTATCTGCCTGCTCCCTTGCATAACAACCCCGATCCTTAGTCGCGTCTGGGTCCCTTGTGCTGATTGGATCCGTGATGGTTGCGTCACAGATCCAGACCGCTCCCGAACTCTTGTCCCTGATTGTAAGATCTGCGATCTGTCGGAAAATCACCTCGACCCAGACCCCTAGGAAACATGATGGCTTGTTTATATCTCTTTGGTTTTAGACCTGTGCTTGCTTAGTAGGGTAAGCATCGGGACGATGCTTCTTGGGGAGGGGAATTATGTTACAAGTTGGGATTCCCGATGCCAGCGCGCATGGGAATACTCGAACGGTTGGAACCTCCCTTGCCTAGATAGCTCCGAATAGAGATAGGTGCTAACCTCAGAGCTCACTCTCTTATCCTCGTCAGCTACTAGAAGCTACTAGAATCCAACAAGGCATGGCATCGAGGCGCTATGCCAAGATGCCATGCTGAAAGCGTGGCGACGCGGGCTTTCCTCCCGAGCCGCGCTTATTCTCCCTAGCATAAATATATGTCTCTAGCTCTTCTTGTATCATCCGGATCTTCGTCTAATCCTACTATCTTCTTGGAATCCTTCTTCTCTTCTTCTCTCCATCTACGTCTCCAGGGCTAGGCTTCTCTCTCCAGCCTAGCTCCCTCCCTTCCGCTGCAACGTTTTATTCTCTTCTATTCTCTTAGCTACGGCGCCGCTCCTTACTCGCCAGGCCGGCCAGGCCAGCCGCGCCGTGCGTCGCTGCGCCATAGCGTAGCCCTGTTTCACTGTCCAAAAAAATACCTTTGAATGCGGCCCAGTGGCGAGACGCCCCTAGGTCAGTGAGTCCTCAGAGATTAACAATAGAACGGTTGGGTGTGGTATTGAGCAAAAATGAAAGCGGGAGAATACCGCGTTAGGAGAGAGACGCATTGTAGTCTAAACTCACGTACATCATAAGGAACTGATTTTACTCGCATGATTGACATGTTTTTATGTCCTACATTCTTGTACATAAAAAACGGCACACTTCATTAGTTGCATTAGGACGAGGTAACTAGAAGGCAACAATGAGGCACCAAGCCATCTCAACCCCCCTGAACAGCTTTGCTTATTCCCTCTCCCCACCTTTCCATCCCTTCAACCGCCGCACCAGCATCTTTCCCAAACCTATCCATACCTTCTCCCATCCCGTTGGCCACTCTCCCTCCCCACTCCCCCACCCCTTCAACCGCCTCATTTGCATCTTTTCCGAACTTATCCATCCCTTTCCCCATCCCCTCCGCTACCCTCCCTCCCCACTCTCCCACTCCTTCCATACTCGTCCTAACCTCTTCCGCCTTACCTTCCCCCCATCGATTCATCTCCTCCCCCATCCCTTTGACCGCCTCTGCATTCTTCTCACCCCACTTACTCATCCCTTCCATATGCTCCTGTACCGCCTGCCCAGAACTCTCCCCCCACGCCTTAACAGCCTTGCCCACATTCTCTCCCCATGCCTTCATCGCCTCGTCAGCCCCATTCCACCACGTCTTCATCGCCTCTACACTGCCTGCGAAAGCTTTGTCCGCCTCCTCCCCCCACCGGCCCATACCCTCCAGCACTCCTTTGAACGCCTCTGCCACGGACTCACAGGACTGACCAAGGAGTGCGAGGAGGTGGTGAACGATTGGGAGGAGCAGCGGGATGAGCTGCATGAGAAACTGAACCACGTAATGCGACTCAGGAGGGGTAAAGTTGAGCAGCAGAAACATGCAGAGGTCGGACATTTTGAAAGGTGAAAGCGCTCCAGGTAATCCGAGGTCGGTGGTACAAGGCGGTGACTCGGATTCATCGTCGCTCTTCATCTCGTCATCATTCCTCTTGCGGCCTCCTGACGAGTCATTGGCTTCGCAGGTCTCGTCACCCCCCATGCCCTGTAACGAGCCAAAATCCTCTCGCTGTCAGAATGTGATATTTGTCTAGTCAGCAGTGGGGTACTCTATAGTGAGTACAGCCCGGTTAGGGTTTGCTATTTGTATCCCAACTGCCTGCTAGTGAAAATTCTCTTCCTTTCATTACTGTTTTACCTAGCTACTTTGACATGCTATCAGAGCGTCTACGTTCCTGGCCTGTAGGCCCACCTGCTTCCGCTGCTGTACTGTCTGTCGCGCGCCCCGTGGCGCTCGACGTTTTTTCTTCCCGCCACGCGCTCGAGGCACGTGGCGGTTTTCTGCCCGCCACGCGCTCGGGGCGCGTGGCGGTTTCCTTCCCGCCACGCGCCCCGGGCGCGCGCGGCGGTTTCACGCTCCGTCACGGCGCTCCCGGGGACCCGCGCGCCGCCCCCCGTCGCCCGTCGCGGCGCCCCCGGGGACCCGCGCGCCGTCCCCCGTCGCCTGTCGCGGCGCCCCCGGGGACCCGCGCGCCGCCTCTTGACCCTTTGCGCTGCGGGGCTGCTTCCCCCCCGCCCCTCCCCTTTCTCCTTCCTCTCCCTCCTGCGCGTGCAGCTATGGGGGTGGCGGGTATGGGGGTGGCGGGTGTGTGAGCCGTCCCCTGCTCCTCCTCCTCCTCCGTCTCCCACTGCTACAGCTGACGCTGAGGGGGGTGGATGTCTGGGAGCCGAGGGAGTGGCGCTAGGGGGGTGCCGTGGGAGTGGAGCTAGGAGTGCATAGGGGGGTGTGTGAAAGGGGGTCTGCGACAGTGGGGGAGGTTGAACGGAGGTAGCCGTTGTGGAGCCAGCAGCGCCAGTAGTCCGGATGCCCTTGCTTCGGTAGCCAGCGAGCCCGTTGCGCCAGTCGCCCGTGGGTCCGTTGCTCCAGCCGCTCGTCTTAGCCGCGGAGCCAGTTACTCCAGTAGTCCGGGGCCCTTGCTCCGGTAGCCCGTGTGCCAGTTGCTCCAGTAGCCCGTGTGCCAGCAGCTTCAGCCGTCGCCTCCAATCTCCTCTCCTCTCACAGTCCCTCCTCCTCCTCACGAGTCCTCTATGTCTCCCACTAGCTTTGCTTGTGCTTGTGAACTTATTATGTGACTGCTGTCAAATATACTAGGAGTACGGCCTAGGCTTAGTAGCCTAGGCCACAGTAAGACTACGAAAGGAGGCGCCAAGTAGGAGCTAGGAATGTGTGCACGAACAGAAATGAGGAAGGAATGATTGAACTAGCAAGCAGCAGGATACAAATAGCAAACCCTAAGGGGCTGTACTCACTATTGAGTACCCCACTGCAGGCTACACAAACAACATATTCTGACACACCCCCATAGCCAAAGTGGGGTGTAATCAGCACAATGAGCAGTCATAGCAATAGTTCACAATTAATGAGCAGGGCTAGAGGCTATCACAGAGGGCAAGTGAGGAGGAGGAGGGACTGTGAGAGGAGAGAAGATGGGAGGCGACGACTGAAGCTGCAGACACACGGGCAACAGAAGCGGCTGACACAGTGGCGGCTGACACAGTGGCTACCGAGGCAAGGGCCCCGGACTACTGGAGTAACTGGCTCTGCGGCTACGACGAGCGGCAGAAGCAACGGACCCACGGGCGACTGGTGCAGCAGGCTCTCTGAGCTACCGAGGCAAGGGCCCCGGAATACAGGAGTAACAGGCTCTGCGGCTGCGACGAGCGGCAGGAGCAACGGACCCACGGGCAACAGGTGCAGCAGGCTCTCTGAGCTACCGGCGACAAGGGCCCCGGAATACAGGCGCTGCGGACGACACGACGGCTGCCTCCACTCAACCTCCCCCAGCTGTCCCACACCCCCCTACACACACACCCAGTTTCACCCCTAGCTCCACTCCCACATCACCCCCCTAGCTCCACTCCCCACGGCTCCCACACCTCCACCCCCCCCGCAGCGGCAGCTGCAGCAGTGGGAGACGAAAGAGGAGGAGGGGAAAGGGAAGGGGAAAGCCCACACCTCTCACCCCCATGCTCGCCACCCCACCCCCCAACCACCGCGGAACACACGGCAGAACGGGAGAATGGGCAGCACGGGGGGGGGGGGGGGGATGGGGTGCAGGGACGGCAGCACGAGCAACTGCAGGGGCGGGCTGTGGGCTGCTGCAGGGGTCCTGGGGCGGCTGCTGCAAGCGCGGGCCGCTCCAGGGGCGGCTGCTGCAGTGGTGGGCGGCTCCAGGGGCTGCTGCTGTAGTGGTGGGCGGCTCCAGGGGCTGCTGCTGCAGTGGCGGGCGGCTCCAGGGGCGGCCGCCGCAGTTGAAAGGCAGGAGGGGAGGGGGGGGAAATCGCACGGCCCCCAGGGCGCCCCGAGGGGCGATGAGAAGGGAGCCGCGCGGCCCCCCCCCGGGGCGCCGCGACGGGCACCAGGGAGGGCGCCGCGACGGGCCCCCAGAGCCGCCTCGACGGGCGACGGGGAGGGCGCCGCGCGGGCCCCCCGAAGTCGCCTCGACGGGCGACGGGGAGGGCGCCGCGCGGGCCCCCCGAAGTCGCCTCGACGGGCGACGGGGAGAGCCGCGCACGGCACCCGAAGTCGCCTCGACGGGCGACGGGAGGGGACCGCGCGCGGCCCCCGTGGTCGCCACGACGGGCGACTGGTGGGGAGGCCGCGCGGGCCCCCAAGGTCGCCTCGACGGGCGACGGGAGGGAGGCCGCGCGGGTCCCCGAGGTCGCCTCGACGGGCGACGGGAGGGGAGGCCGCGCGGGTCCCCGAGAGCGCCTCGACGGGCGCTGCGACGGGAGGGGACCGCGGAGGCCCCCCCAAGGGCACCACGACGGGCGCCACGGAAGGGAAAACCGCCAGGCGCCCCGAGCGCGCGGCGGGCAGAAATTAGGGTTTCGCCGCCGCGCACCACGGGGCGCGCGGCGGACCGTACGGCAGCGGAAGCGGGTGGTGGGCCCATACACAGGTAGGCGGCAGACATGCCGCCCTCTGATACCATGTCAGATATACTAGGATTACGGCCTAGGCTTAGTAGCCTAGGCCACAGTAAGACTACGAAAGGAGGCGCCAAGTAGGAGCTAGGAATGTGTGCACGAACAGAAATGAGGAAGGAATGATTGAACTAGCAAGCAGCAGGATACAAATAGCAAACCCTAAGGGGCTGTACTCACTATTGAGTACCCCACTGCAGGCTACACAAACAACATATTCTGACAACTGCTTGCTGTGCTGATTATACCCCACTTTGCCTATGGGGGTGTGTCAGAATGTGATATTTGTCTAGTCTGCAGAGGGGTACTCTATAGTGAGTACAGCCCGGTTAGGGTTTGCTATTTGTATCCCAACTGCCTGCTAGTGAAAATTCTCTTCCTTTCATTACTGTTTTACCTAGCTACTTTGACACTCGCTTCTCCTTGTTCGCCTTGGAGCTTCCCATCAGTGTCTCTCTGTCGCAGATGCGGCGAGGCCTGAGAGGGTCGTGTCATGGGATGGCTCAACGCACGCCAACCTGAAGCTTGCGTTGCCTATCAGAGAGTCTTATTACCTGAATGGAAAGGGCTCTGCTGGACTACTTGAATGGGTGTCGATGGACCAGATAGGGACGAAACGAATCAATATCAACTACCGTCATCGCCCGGATATAAGACAGTGTCGAATTGAAGACAGGGGGTGTCGTTAAAACGGGTGTATCTTATAGATGGGTGTTCCTGATTATAAGACACATGTCGGTGTGTACGAGTTAAGCCAGTATAGGGGTTAGGGGCAATCTTATGACGAGGGGGTATCTTCTAAACGGTTTTTTGTCAATTCATAAGAATTACCGTATCACCCCGGATATAAGCGCATATGCGCTTATAATAAATTCATTTTTTTTAGGGGAGGGCGCTTGTAATTGAGTAACGGCCATAAGCGCCGGCGCTGTCAGATTTATATGACATTACTACTGCAGGCTATAGTGGGGTAGCACATATGGGGTACAGTTTTCCTAGGGTTTGCATTTGTACCCAACTTTCCCTTACTCAATTCATTCCTCGTTTCTTCTCATGGTATCGAGCAGGTTCCCTAGTGGGAACGATTCCTAGGGCCCACCACCACGAAATTTTTTCTTTCCTGCCCGGAGCGCGCTTCGCTCCGGCCCGAGTCGCGCCCTGTGTGCTCTCCCTACCGTCGCGCCCTCGCTAGGCCCCTCACGGCCCCGTCGCGTCGCCCTTAGCGGCCCCCTCACGGCTCGTCGCGCCGCCCCTACGGCCCTTCGTGCCGCCCTTACGGCCCGTCGCGCCCCTCGCGCCGTCCCTTACAGCCCCTCGCGCGGCCCCCTACGCCCCTTACGGCCCCTCCCGCGGCCCCTCACGGCCCCCTACGGCTCGTCGCCGCCCTCAGCGGCCCCGCCACCTACCTGTGCGGCCCCGCCACCTACCTGTGCGGCCCCGCCACCTACCTGCGGCCCCGCCACCTACCAGCGGCCCCGCCACCTACCCGCGGCCCCGCCGCCTACCTGTGCTGGCCCCGCCACCTACCTGCGGCCCCGCCACCTACCAACGGCCCCGCCACCTACCTGCGGCCCCGCCACCTACTAGCGGCCCCGCCACCTACCTGCGGCCCCGCCACCTACCTTTGCGGCCCCGCCACCTACCTTTGCGGCCCCGCCACCTACCTTGCGGCCCCGCCACCTACCTTTGCGGCCCCGCCGCCTCCTCTCCGCGGCCCCGCCGCCTCCTCCCAGCGGCCCCGGACGCCGCCCTCTCAGCGGCCCCGCCGAGCCGCCCAGCAGCCGAGCCGCCCAGCAGCCGAGCCGCCCAGCAGCCGAGCCGCCCAGCAGCCGAGCCGCCCAGCAGCCGAGCCGCCCAGCCGCCGAGCCGCCCAGAAGCCGAGCCGCCGAGCCGCCCAACAGCCGAGCCGCCGAGCCGCCCAGCAGCCGAGCCGCCGAGCCGCCCAGCAGCCGAGCCGCCGAGCCGCCCAGCAGCCGAACCGCCGAGCCGCCCTGCAGCCGAACCACCCGAGCCGCCCTGTCCGGTAAGAGCAGCGCCTCCTTCACAGCCCTGCCC